TCCTCCTCCTCCTCCTCCTCCTCCTCCTCTCTGCAAACCCCACTTCCTTCTAGCACTGATATTGTTACCTAGTTTGGGTAATGAAATGTCTGAAAGGAAACACCCAAGCTCAGAGAGCACCAAGGACACCACAATCATCCTCCTCCTCCTCTCTACAAACCCCACTTCCTTCTAGCACTGATATTGTTTCCTAGTTTGGGTAATGAAATGTCTGAAAGGAAACACCCAAGCTGAGAGAGCACCAAGGACACCACAATCATCCTCCTCCTCCTCCTCCTCTCTGCAAACCCCACTCCCTTCTAGCAATGATAATGTTACCTAATTTGAGTAATGAAATATCTGCAAGTAAACAATCAAGGCCAGAGAGCATCAAAGACCCCACAGTTCAATGCTGAACTACTGAAATAGTCTCCTTTTTTGATACTCTTGAGAAATACCGCTCTTACCTGACTGGTGCTGGTCCATCCCTCCGTTTCTGTTGGTGCTGTTGTGATGAAGGACATTCTGTAAGATTCCCAAACTGTTTGCTGTCTGGTGAACGTCATTCTGCAAGTCTTCTAGCAGACCTTCATGACTTTGATGGGCTTCTACAACATCTCCCAAGTCTGGCAAATACGACATTATTTGCAAAGAAGCAAGACAAGACAAGACCAAAACACATCTAAATATATATATTTAGCACAGAAGGTGAGCCTACAGATACAAAAACCATGCACACATATTGCTAGTAGGAAGAAGGAAGACGCATGCTGGTCTTTCTTGCAGTAAATAGAATTTCAAAAGAGCAAGGAATGGAACTGAGCTTTTGTCAATCAATATGGAACACATTTGAAGGCAATAGAAGAAGGGGACGACAGAGAATGAGGTGGCTGGATGGAGTCACTGAAGCAGTAGGTGTGAACTTAAATGGACTCCAGAAGATGGTAGAGGACAGGAAGATCTGGAGGAATATTGTCCATGGGGTCGCAATGGGTCAGGCACAACTTTGCAACTAACAACAATGGAACACATTTAAGAAATACATCTTCAGATCAGCAATATAGTCTATGTAGGTTGCAGATCACTTTAAGGTCCTTGTTTATATCATCTGTGTGTACAATACCCTTGAACAAAAGCGTACATTCCAAAACACATTATTATTATTATTATTATTTTAAAAAAATTACTGGCATGTGGAATGCCTTCATCTCCATCTTATTTATTTTTTCTTACTGCTTTTCTCTACTGTTGTTCATATTTTGCTAACGCCCAGAGATGAGCAGTTAAAAGAGAGATAAACGTGGGCTGTAATTTTCAGGCATGGTTTTAATGGGTAATTAAGGACTCTTTAGACACTGCTAATGTTGGTTTAAGCAACTTCTAGCTGATAAAAGAAAGAAGGATGTAGCAGAAGGAGAAGACTATTATAGTCTAACACGGGTAGGCAACCTTGGCTCTTTGATGACTCGTGGACTTCAACTCCCAGAATTCCTGAGCCAGCATGGGGGAACTATGGCTCCCTCATGACTCGTGGACTTCAACTCCCAGAATTCCTGAGCCAGCATGGGGGAACTATGGCTCCCTCATGACTCGTGGACTTCAACTCCCAGAATTCCTGAGCCAGCATGGGGGAACTATGGCTCCCTCATGACTCGTGGACTTCAACTCCC